TATTCTATTCTATTCTATTCTATTCTATTCTATTCTATTCTATTCTATTCTATTCTATTCTATTCTATTCTATACATTATGCCAAAAATGTTTGAAGGATTAGAAGGGACATGTTGAATGACAAAAAGTAGTGTAACGAAGAGAAGGGGAAAAAAAGGGTGCTGGACTGTGATGAAATAAACCAGACTTCCATTTAAATGAATATAAACATCTCATTATTTTTTGTTACAATAGTGCTGAATGTGGTGTTTCCTTGAACTTCACAGGGATAAATCTGCTTGTTATCTTAAGATGCAGATTTTTCCATGTATTTTTTTAATGTAACTTGCCCCCTCTCTCCCCCTCCCCAAATAAATCACAGTACTCAAAGGAGCGTACATTCAAAGAATACTTTTATGATCAGTATCCTTTTTTTTCTCAAAAGAAAAAAAAACAATTTTTGCTTGTTTCTTTTGAAATAGCAGAGTGAATAAAATCTTTAAACACTATTTGACATGCAGTGCCCTCATACTTTAGATAGCAGATACATTTCGTTGATATATGGTACATTGATGTTTATATCTTTATAAATGTATATAATTTATACATATACAAACATATGCATTATAAATATCATAATTGTCATTATTCACATGGAGGTTGGACAATTAGGCAGAAGTCCTGACTGATCGTAACTTCCTGGCAAATAAATATTTATACTTTATACTTCACATTTATCCCTGCAAACATTAGTCATTGCTACAAATAGGCCTGTTATCTAATGTATGTACCTTCACTAAGGGGAGTACAGTCAGAGTGCTATAGCCAGGGCACTCCTAGATTGTATTTCCTGCAGTAGTATATAAATTCTTGCTTCCAATTGGGAAAACTTCAAGAATTTAGCTAGCATGACATTGTTGTTGAGAATTCTGAAAGCTGAAGCTGAAATAAGCCAGGTTGGGAAGGACTGTTAAATTCAAGTCAGCAAAGTTTATTTCAACCAGTTTTATTAATTGGGACCAGTATAGAACAAAACAATTAACAGTTTAAAAGTAAAAGAGGCTGACCAAATATAACATGCAAGAATAATGCAAAATATTGTCACTATTATTACTAGCATAAACTGCATCTTTACAATTAGGAAATAGTGTTATTTATCTAAAACAAAGACATAGAACCAATTCTAAGATAGATGTAGGTTAAAATAAATCAAATGATATGAAATCTTCTGGATGTGTGGACCAAAACCCAAAATTCCCTAGCCAGTTTGACCAGTGCTTGGTGAAAATTCTAAAAGTTAAGTTGAAGTAGCCCAGACTGGTAACCACTATCATAAACATTGAGACTACAAGACCACAATATTAAATGATGATTATTAAGAGCAAATGATTTGTAAGTCATTTAGATTTACCTCCATTCAACATTAATTAATTTTATTGCCAAATAGAAACCAAATAAATAAATAAAGAAAAAAAAAACATGGTATGCTTTAGTTCACATACTGGCAGAAAATGTAGGTAGCTATAATAAGCTCCAGCCCCATTTCTTAGTTTTTGTGATTCAGTATTTTTATGAATGGGATTTGAATTATTTATCTTTTGATATGGAAGACCTCCACTTTTTCTATTCTATCTATTCTATTTTATACTTCCTCTATCTGTGGAAATCTGTGTAAAATGACTACTCTTTGTAAGTAAACAAATAACTAAATAAATATACAGCGTAATAAATTCCATGTCCCAATTCTGCGTTTCAACCAAACCCTATAATCTGGATATCATTTTGCTTACACATTCTAAAGAAGTGGCCTGCAATTTAAGAACTGAGTAACATAATTTATACACTCTGATTTTGCAATTCAATCTGCAATTTTCCACACAAACAATTGGAGGATCTGTTGAGAATTTATGTTCTGTTGTTTGGTGTTAATGTGTCACTAGCACTGATGATGGTCCCTAGTTTGGTAATGAAAGGTCTGTAAGAAAACGATCAAGATCAGAGAAGCACTGAGGATACCACAGGATGGTAATGTGAGTTAATTCACACGGATCAAAGTTACATCCAATTTAAATCAGAAAGTGGTTTGGGAAATAAATTCTCAAC